GTGTACGTGGCTCTGAGGCTATTAGAACGAGAGTTGTGGATGCTGGTATGGTACCGGTTATCATAACTGTATTGGACAATTTTTTAAGGGCACTTGATCATGTTAGACTGGAAAAAGAACAACAACAACAACAGCAATTGCTCGCAGCACAGTTGCTGCCATCTCAAAATCCACCTTTAATTACGAGATCGCCATCCCCGCAAATTCCTCTTACGACTGCTTTCGTTGGAGCTTTAGAAAATGGTAACGCGTCGAATATTATTCAGATGTCTGATGAATCTGAACAACCTCTAACATCTTATCCTCACTCACCTAATTCAACATCCATTTTTCCTTCTGATTATCAAACTGACAATTCTGACATCTCTCATGTTGGTTCATCAAATATGCAATCTGTGATTTCAACCTCAAATCCAGCTGCCGCATCCACGAATAGGTTTTTAGCAAATGTTACGACAACTTATGATATAAGGTCGTCTGATGATGCAAGATCAGATGTGGCATCTTGGGGTTCGGTTGCAGATAATGAAGAAGCTGTTTTAACCACAACAGTACCACAGTTACCATCAGCAATGACTGGTACAAATGGTACAAACATAACTCCAAGCATACGAACAACTCCGACACCCAACAATACACCACCAACTAATCCGACTACTCAATCAACTTTAGAAATTGACGTCCTTTATCGTGAAGAAGATATTCTCTTATCTCTTCAATTGCTAGCTTATCTTTCAAAGTATCCTCATTTACGCGCTACATTCCACAATGCTTATCCACCTCATAATGTATTTTTTCTTGTGGAAAAATTCACTCATCGTCTTCATCCTGGTGAAATTCAATATTGGGCTGGTGTTATTATGCGCAATGCCTGTCGTAAAGATGAAGAACGTGGCGGAATTCGTCAGTGTGCTTATATGGCTTGTGGCAAGTGGGAGAGTTTTCCAAGAGAATTTGCAAAATGTCGGAGGTGTCGTAAAGCTAAATATTGTTCTAAGGCCTGTCAGTCAAAAGCATGGAGTGAAGGACATCGATGGTGGTGTATGGAACGACATAGTCACGGTGATTCTGATAGCACAACTTCTAATGGTCAAACAACATCTACCGCTAG